GCTAGAATGGAAGAGGGGCAGTAGTAGCCTTGGGTATAATTGGGGGGGTATTGAATAAAAATAAGGGGGTGGTAGAAGCATAAGGAAAGAAAAGAGAAGAAAATTTTGAAAAAGCATTCATACATGTTTCATCTGTTGTGCACCAGAGTTGAAGTCATAGTGATTACATTATTTTCCAAATAAACACACAAAATGCAAGTTATAACTGATCAGTGGTCAAGTCCACTGACAGGTCTTAACAAGCAAGTATTGGCAGGTGAGGGTGTCAGGCATTGTTGGGAAGTCCAGCATGCATAGGCAGGAATATGTGCGTGTAATGACTTGTTTACAATATGCGTCATTTAAAAACATTATGTATATATTTTTTGAAATGATGCAAATTTCAAGAAAACCATTAAAGAGTTAAAGAAAGTAGATTTCCAGGGGGGTGCTGAGTAATTTTGTTTTTGAAAAGGTGGAGGTAGGCCAAATAAGTTTGGGAATCTTTGCCATAGACAATTTCTAAGGTCCTTCCCAGTTTTAAATCTCATTAGTTGCCATGGTTCTGTAGTGAGCTCCCATTCCTTGGAAGTATTCAAGGAAGGTAGGAAGAAAGGAGACAAGCATTTATTAAGTACTTACTATGTATTACCTCACTTGATTCTCACAGCAATTCTGGAAAGTAGGTGCTACTATTACCCTCATTTTATAATTGAAGAAACTGAGGCAAATAAGTGACTTACCTAGGGTCACATAGCTAGTAAATATTTGAGGATGGATTTGAACTCAAGTCGTCCTGACTCCAGGCCCAGCACTCTATCCAATGGGCCACCTTGGTGCCTTGAGAAACTAGATGACAGTATGTATGGAATTGGGTGGGAGTTTGGTTTGGATGCCTTCCAAAGCCTGGTCCAATTCCAGGCTTCTCTGATGAGCCCGGGTAAGAAGCGGAGGGATGGGAAGGGAAGACTGGAGTTAGCCCCAGTCCCCTAAGCCTTGAGGCCTGGGGGAGCTGGTGGCCATTTGTGTGATTGATTGCAGTACCTGCCCAATGAGACGGGCCTCCGAGACGAAATGCAGGTCCTCAACAAAATGCACCATGTTGTCCTTGTCTGGATAGGGCCCTTCCTGCCCCTGCTGGTCCTGGTGCATCCTGACTACATCAAACCACTCCTGGGAGCTTCAGGTAAGTACAACCGCCCTCATCTAGCAAGCTCAGGGCCAGGGCCAGGGGGGATCCTGCTCTCTTCATTCTCCAGCTTTGCTGTCTCTTCCCTTTATGCTTCCTACGACAAGCCCCCGTTCCTCTAGTGCAGACATTCTTCATCTTCTCTGCAGCATGGCCCTTTGGCAGTCAGTCTGATGCAGCCTATGGACCCCTCAGAATAAAGTCTTTAAATGCATAAAATAAAACACGAAGGATCACGAAGGAAACCAATTATACACACACATATGTATACATATACACATATGTGTGTGTGTATGTATGTATGTATGTAAAATTATTCTACATTTCTATTTATCAATTCTTTCTCTGGATGCAGATAGTATCTTTCTTCATATGTCCTTTATGGTTAATGTTGCTGTTATTCTATACAATGTTCTCTTAGTTCTGCTCATTTCACTCTTCATTATTTAGTGCAAGTCTTTCCATGTTTTCCTAAAATCATTGGGTTCATCATTTCTTATAGCATAGTAGTATTCCATCACAGTCCTATACTCCAACTTATTCAACCATTCCCCAATTGATCTAATGGTAGCCATCTCCAGGGTGGGGGGTTGGGAGGGAGGGAAGAAAAAAAAAAGAAATTTACATGATAATTTCATCATATATTTGAAAGGAAAAGCAAGTTGTGCACAGTAGATTGGCAGTTTCATGTGTAAATTATGGGAATGCTTGTTTTATCCCATAAATTAAAAATAAAACAAAAAAGAGAAATAGATATGTATTTTTTCCATCCAAGTTTGTGGATCCCCTGAAATCTATCCACGTATCCTGGTTTAAAAACCCTTCTTCTAGTGCTTTACATTTTTCCAAATGCTTTCCCCATGACAATCCTGTGAAGGTATGAGTCTGATTACCCCTATTTTACAGATGGGGAAACTGAGTCTCAGAGAGGTTATAGGATCATAGATTTAATGCTCTTAGAGGGTATCCAGTCCACCCCCTCCTTCTAGAGATGAAGACACAGGTACAGAGTCACACTAATAAGTGTAGTAAGTAGGATTTCAACCTAGGTCATCCTAACAGGATGGTCTTTCAGGTTTTTCCCAGGTCTTAATCTATCATCCCATGAAGTGTATTAATGGGCCTGTCTTTTCTCTTGGTTGTACTAAGGGAACCTTAATAGAGTGTGAATTGGACCTGTAGGACATATTTCAGGGTTCTGGTTCATTTTCTGCTTGAGGGTCTTATGTGACTCATTGGAGGTAATTTCCCATTTCTCTGAAGGTGCCGTAGGAGAGGGAAGGAGATAGTATTGCCCTATTGCCCAGTGTCTCCTCCTCCCAAAGGCCTAGGCTCTCTATACTCCCCCTTCTGTCTTCCAATCATCCCCTTACCTCTTCCCTCCACCCCCTCCCTACTTTGTGGTTAACGTACAAGGGCCATGGTCAAATTGGGTTGACCTTGAACCCTGCTGGCAGAGTAGACTGTGAGCCCCTGGGGCCTCTGTTCCTAGGGCCTCTCCACCTACTAGAAATTCTGGGCCAGGCCACAGGAAGTGTCTCAATGGAGAGCTGTTGCCCAAGATGGTTGTTTTGTGTCCCATGTTGTTCAGCCACATTGTTGAGAAGGAACTGCCTTCCCCCTTCTTGGGCCTGACTGGGCAGTCTACTCATTTGCTTCCTATTTCATAGGTCTGGAATCCCACGTTTTAGAAGGAACTAGATCCCTTCAAGGCTTGACTCAAGGGCCATCTCCTCTGAGAGGCTTTTCCTGGTTGTGCTGTTCCTTTCTTGGAAATTATTTTGTGTTATAATATTGTACTTATTCTGCTTCATTCTAGACCACTGCACCCCCATTCCCCAGCTACAGGGAAAACAGTGAGGTGCTGTGGGCTAGAAGTATGGAGAACACCACTCTGTATTAGTTCTGTGACTTTGGGGTAAAACTAACCTTCTTGAAACTTTCTGGATTCTCAACTGTAAAATGGTGATGGGATTAGATTCTCTCCCTTGCAGCTTTGACAGTCTTTCCTAAGGGCCCCACTAGTCCCGATGCTCTGTGTTCAAAGGCCCCTCTTGGCCCTGACATTCTGGATTTTCTTTTGTGTTTGAACATCCCTTCTGGCTCCGATGTTCTATAAGAGGACTGTGCATGGTAGACAGGATGCTTGGTTTAAATCCTACCTCGGACATTGTTTTTATGCCCTGTCCTGTTAGAATGCAAACTTGTGGAGGGAGAGGAAGGGTTGTTTCATTCTTTCTGTTTGGATCACTAACGTCTAACTCAGTGCCCGACACCTAGTTGATAAATGCTATTGATTGATTTCAGTTCTGACATTCTGTATTCTAAAATCCATTTTAGCTCTGACAGTCTAAGTTCTAAGGGCCCTCCCAGCTCTGCATTGTGTGTTCTAAGAGTCCTCCTAGTTCTGACATTCTGTGTTCTAAGAACCCTCTCAGCTTTAACATTCTGGGTTCCAGGGGCCCTCCTAGCCCCGATATTCTCTGTTCTAAGGGCCCTCCGAGCCTCAATATTCTATGTTTCACGGTGCTTTCTGGCACCAGCCATCTATAATCCTGTTTTTGGGTCCATGTTAACAAATTTCAGGTCCTCCTCCCCTCTACTTCATCTTCATGACATGAAACAAGAGTGCACGTGGTATGGCACAGTGCTATACACATAAAATACACATATATACATACCATACACATAGCGCACATAGCATAGAAGGGTGCTGAATTGAAATCCTTCTTTAGACACTTACTGGCTATGGGGCTACTCCAAGTCGTTTAATATTTTTCAGTGCCTCACTTTTCTCATCTCCAACTTGGAACTAAAAAAATCCTAGATCATCTCCCATTGTGAGGTTGTTTTGAGGAATGCATCTTGCAAACCTTAAAGCAACAGCTGAATTGGAACTATTGCCTATCAGATCCTCACAATGGACTCCTGAAGTAGCTGGCAAGGAATTCTGTCTTCATTTTATAGATGAGCTCAGAGAGATGATGGACCTTGTCCAAGGTCATAGACTAAGTCACCTCCAGCGCTAGAACTGGGCTTACCAAGCAATTATTAAGCACCTCCTGTGGACAAGACATTATTTCTCTATACTCACTGCTTCTACCAGCTATTTGTGCCTCACTGTTGACTCAGTGGGACTGGGTGTGTTGGGGTGAGTATATTCTCAAACTGATGGAGCAATCCAGAACCAGAGAGATCTGCTGGGTGGGCCTGCTTGAAGTCCCAGTGAGTCAGCACTGGGAACAGGAATGAAGTCTGGGTGTCCTGTCCGGAGGCTTCTGTGCACAGTGCCTTAAGCCTACTGTGGAGCCAACCATCCAAAACCCCGCCCTCCAAATGCTCAGCTCAGGTCCTAGCTGGCTCCAGGGACAGACACTAGTCAGACAGGAACTGGGTTCACAGACCAGCACCATCACGTCCACAAGTCATATTTTCTCAAATCATTGGGGAAGATCTTCTCTAGCTCTGTTCTGATCTTTTTTTTTTTTTGTTATTATTATTGTTTTCATCTGGGATTATCCTTAGGTCCTTTGGGCCATACACATATACAATGTATATGGCAGCAGGAAGGATCATGAACTTGAAAAGAAGTCTTTAGTAAAGTGCACCAAGGGTCCTTGTTTGTCCCTGTGCTGTTTAACATTTTCATCAATGACTTCAATGGAGGCAATTTTTAATCTATAGATGATAAGGTCTATAGTTAGCTTTCAAGATGTCTCTGAACTTATATGAGAGAAAAAATGATATCTTTATTTTCACTAACCTCTGTAATACAATTTGGCATTGACTTCAATTATAGAATACAGGCAACAAAATGTTCTTAGAAGGAGTCCCTAGGCTTCACCACAGACTGTCAAAGGGGTTCGTGAAACAAAAGAAGTGATGAACCCTAGGCATAGAGGTCAGCCTCACCACATCTGCAGATGACTAACTTCTGGGATAGATAGCCACCATGGATAAGAGTCAGGATGGAAAATCTTAGAGATAAAGTTGCCCCAACCTGCTGGAAATCTGGGTCCCGTGTCTCCGAGCAATTCAGGGTCCTAGAGGCAGAGAGGTGAAAATTGGGAAACTTGTAATGAAACTGAATCGGGATAAATACAAAGTCTTATCCTTAGGTTCAGAAAAATCTTGCCATTTCCACTTCCATGATATCTCTTGTATCTGATGCCTCCTCTCTACTCTTACAGCTGCCAACTTAGTTCAGGCCTTCTTCACCTCTCACACAGACTATTACGACAGCTTTTTAACTGGCCTCCTGGCCTCAGTTCCTCCCCACTCCAGTCCATCCTGTTGTTGTTCAGTCATTTTTGACTTTTTGTGACCCAATTTGGGGTTTTCTTGGCAAAGATACTGGAGCGATTTGCCATTTCCTTCTCTAGTTCATTTTATGAATGAGGAAACTAAGGCAAACAGGGTTAAGTGACTTGCCCAGGGTCATACAGCCAGTAAGTAAGTTTCTGAGGCCAGATTTGAACTCAGGAAGATGAATCTTCCTGATTCCAGGCCTGGTGCTCTATCCCCTGTGCCACTTAGCTGCCTGGTCTGTCATACCAACTGCTACAAAAAGTAATTTTTCTTAAGCATGGATAAGAACAGTGATACCTTGGGGCAGCTAGGTGGCACAGGGCACTGGCCCTGAAGTCAGGAGGACCTGAGTTCAAATGCGACCTCAGACCAAACACTTGACACTTACTAGCAGTGTGACTCTGGGCAAGTCACTTAACCCCAACTGCCCCCCGAAACCCCAAAAAACCCCAGTGATACCTTCATTCAGTCAATTGCCATGGTTTCCTACTGCCTCTAGGATTGGCAGTTTTAGGATCAAATGTAAATTCCTCTGTTTTGCTTTTAAAGTCCTTTACAACCTGGTCCCAACCTACCTCACCAGCCTCACTGGGCATTGCCCCCTTCCAATACTTTGCGATCCAGCCCAATTTGCCTCCTCTCTGTTCCTCACACACAAACCCTCTTCTTTTGTCTCCATGCCTTTGCACTGGCCATCCTTCATACCTGTAGTGAATCACCTTGTTGCCTCCTTCCTTCAAGATGCAGGTTCAGCCATGACTTTCTGCATGAAGTCTTTTTCTGATTCACTTGCTAGTATGTGTGTGTCTGTGTATACAAAAATACATGATCCCTTTTTTATAGATGGGTAAACTGAGTTTGAAGAGGTCATAGGATCATAGATTTAGCACTCTTTACTATGTTTATTGCATATATAATATATATTATATATGCCATATATATAAATGTGCATATGCATATGCGTATATATGTATCTTTCTCTCCTCTTATGGTCTTATCCACTAGAATATAAGCTTCTTTCTAGTAGAGATTTTTTTTCCCTTTATACTTATAGTTCTAGCACCTAGCATAGTACCTGGCATGTAATAATAAGTAGCATTTATATAGTGCTTCAAGTTTTTTTTTTTTTTAGGCAATTGGGGTTAAGTGACTTGCCCAGGGTCACACAGCTAGTAAGTGTCAAATGTTTGGTCTGAGGCAGGATTTGAACTCAGGTCCTCCTGACTTCAGGGCTGGTGCTCTATCCACTGCGCCACCTAGCTGCCCTCTAAGGTTTTGCCAAGCATTTTACAAATGTTATCTTAATTATTCTCCTGGTTCTGCTCCCTTCATTCTGCATTGGTTCGTACAAGTCTTTCCAGTTTTCTGTGAAACTGCCCCTTTCATCCTTTTTTACAGCATAACCATGATCCATTATATTCATAGACCATAATTCATTTAGCCATTGCCCAGCCAATGCGCGTCCCCTTAGTTTCTAATTCTTTGCTACCACAAAAGAGATGCTATAAATATAAAATATTTAAAGGGCCACTAGAACTATTTTGGTACATATAGGGCATTTTTTCTCTTTCTTTGATCTCTTTGGGGATATTGGCCTAGTTGTGATATAACTGGGTCAAAGGTTTAGTAACTTTGGGGGCATGGTTCCAAATAGCTTTTCTGAATCTGCCCAGCATTCTTTATGGCTGGTGGCTTCATATGCTGGGGCCAGTCTAAAGGCAAATTTGATGTTACCATCAGCACTGGAAGGGAGAAGAAGCAACCCTATGGGGTTCCTGTTGATTACTACAAGCGTTAAATGGAAATCCGAAACATCTTTTTACCTTCCTTTGAAAAAACAAAACACTGTTTCCTAAAATGGTATCACACACAGGTACATTTTTTCTCCACCAAAGATTCCCTGAATTGCATTATTTTATTTAAAATGAAAATGCTATTTTTCTTATCAGAAAAACATGACTAAAATGATACTACAGAATTTTAAAAATCATTGCTCACTGTTGCATCCACTCCATTGATGAAATCAACATGTAATTTCTGCCTTGCAGTTCTGTACACTCCATCTTGGGATCTAAACGTTCAGCTGAATTTTAAGATTTGCTGGTGATCTGAGTCAAACTATCAGCTTGGATTTAAGGGCGTGGATTTCTTTTGGGGGGAAGGAGGATTGGGTGAGTGAAGATTGAGGGAGTCAGTCTGGAGATGGATACAGAGACTGTTGTCAAGGAGGGCAAACCTGCTCCAGCAGAGCTGGCAAAGGCCACACGTCCGGTGAAGACGGGGGACTTGGAAGCCACAGGAGTGTGATCATAGACCTGTGACAAAATCCTTAGACACTTCTTATTCTTTCTCCACAGCGGCCATTGCTCCAAAGGACAAGCTCTTCTATGGCTTCCTGACACCCTGGCTGGGTGAGTAGGGGGCAGGTTTGGGCCTCTGACTCAGGACAATGTGATTGGGCGGGACAATAATGGGTTTTAGGGGAGGGACAGGTATGTTGACATATTCCTGACTCAAGATGGTGGCAGGTGCCCCTTAGGGCGACTGAATTGCTTGACACTGGTCTGTTTCCATCACCTTCTCTCTTACCAGGAGATGGGCTGCTGCTGAGCAAAGGAGAAAAATGGAGCCGGCACCGGCGCCTGCTGACCCCGGCTTTCCACTTTGATATCCTTAAGCCCTACATGAAAATCTACAACCAATGCACAGACATCATGCACGTGAGTTTTCTTCCTGTTCCCTGGGAGCATTGACATGTTGGATTTGAAGCCCGAGGACCTGTGTTTGAATGTTGGCTCTACCCGTTCAACGTGTGCAACTTTGGGTAGTCCCTTCTCATCTCTGGGCCTCAGTTTCCTACTCTGCCAAATGGGAGTGTCTGTGAACCTGATGATTTCTTTTTAAGTTCTCTCCCAGTTCTAAACCTAGGATTCTGCGATCCTGTCTTTCAGATCTCTTCTTTCTGCTCTCTCCTGTACCATCCCTTTCACACTTTTTGGGTCTCGGAGGATACTGTTATGCTTTGGCTTGCTGCCAACTGGGCTTGGGGCACCGCTGTTGGCAGGAGGCATGCCATCCCTTACTGATGATATTGCCTTTCTCTTGGACAGGTCAAGTGGAATCGTCTGGCTGCTGGAGCCGTGGTCTCCCTGGACATGTTTGAGCATGTCAGTCTCATGACCTTGGACAGTTTACAGAAATGTGTTTTCAGCTATAACAGTGACTGCCAGGAGTGAGTTGTTAGTTAGTTTTTTGTCTCACCTGTCCCAGGGGGGGCCTTGATGATTGGGAATGAAGACTGGTGGGGAGAAGGAAACCATCAGCAACCTGAAGCTTACTCCATCTCTTTAGGTATCTCCTTAGATGTGAGTTCAGGATTGCTCTTCCTATCCTCCCCACCCGCCCCAACCCCCACCTCCCCACCCCGGCCCTTCAAGGAAGGAGGAAAATAGGATCATATATGACTCTAGAATGGAAAGGGATCTTAGAAGTCATTTAGTCTAGCCCCTCCCTGCTGGTCCCTCTCAGCTCTGACATTCTGTGTTCTAAGTGTCCTCCCAGCTCTGACATTCTACATTTCATGGTTCTGATTCATGGATTAGAATAGGTTTAGGGCAGAATGACCAGTTTGGGAGAGTTTAGCTTATCTTGCCCCTCATGCTTGAGGCTGTAACCTTGTGCTTCCTCTGCCCTGCAGGAAGATGAGTGATTACATCACGGCCATTATTGAGCTGAGTGCCCTGGTAGTGAAGCGCCAGTACCGTATCCACCACCATCTGGACTTCATCTATTACCGGACAGTGGATGGGCGGCGCTTTAAGGAGGCTTGTGAAACGGTGCACCACTTCACTACCGAGGTCATACAGGAGAGACGACGGTCCCTAAACAAGCAGGGGGCAGAGGCCTGGCTCAAGTCCAAGCAGGGCAAGACCTTGGACTTCATTGATGTGCTATTGCTGGCCAAGGTGAACAAGGGAGGCTGAGGCGGGGTGAAGAAGGGCCTGGAGTCATGGTCAAAGTCATTTCTCTGAACCATCCCTCACTCATCATCTCCTAGCAAGTCCTCTTTCTTCCTCCTCCCCTCTCTCCATGCCTCTCCCCCCTTTGCCTTTGTCTTTTCTTTCCCTTCTCTTCTTCCTTATTCCTCTTCTCTTCCCTTCCCCCTTCTTCCTTTTCTAGCTTTCCTTCCATGCTACTTCTCTTTCATTTTTATTTTTGTCCTATGTATAGGTACATTGTCCCGCATTAAAATCTAATCTGCTTGAAGTCAAGGGTTGTTTTGCCTTTGTCTTTGCTCACAGCCTGACACACAGTGGCTCTGAACAATTGCTTGTGGATAGATTCCTACCTTCCCTTCCTTCTCTGTGGTTCCTCAACAAGGCACTGGGTAGAGTCCTCCCTTCCCCGGGGGTTTGGAGGGTGGTTCTAGAGGGCAGGCCAGGTGTCTGCTCCTGGAATTGCCTTTACCTGTGCTGGGCGGAGGTGGGGCTAAGCACTCACAACTGGAACCCCTTTTAGGATGAAGATGGGAAGCAGCTGTCAGATGAGGACATCCGAGCAGAAGCAGATACCTTCATGTTTGAGGGTGAGGACCCCAGGAAGAGAGCTGGGGTTGGGAAAGGCAGGGAGGAGGAGGCTCACAGAACCCAGATGAAAGGGATACTAGAAGACATGTATTCCAACAGAGTTCCTAGATCAGAGGGATGGGCAGATGTTCGATCCCAGTCTGAGAATCATTTTCAGGATGTTCAGGACAGATTAGCTAAGAATTCAGGTGGTTAATGGGTTGCAGGTTCTGTTTGGGGTTTTGCAGGGCCTTTCTGGGCCAGCCTCTGGCCTCATTGAAATTGTATCTAGTTTTTCCCTAACAATACTTGGGTGCATAAAGTGCCTTCTTTCTAGGATATCTAAACCTTTCCACATTAAAAGTACTATTAGCTTACCTATATATCTATCTCATTTAAGGATTATAGTATACTTTGGACTCTGAGAGGCAGTGTGGTTCAGTAGATAGAGTACTGGACTTAGAAGTGGGAAGACTTGGGTTCTAATCCTGTCACAGACGCTTCTTACCTGTTCAGCCTTGGGCAAACATGAGCCTATTTCTTCATCTCCTCCAGTTACAGCCCTTGTCCCTCACAGTGGTTGTGAGGATCAAATAAGCAGTTTTGTAAGAATGCTTGGCAAAGCTTTCCAGATAAGTGCTATACAGATGTGAACTGTCATGGTTATTTTCTTTGCAACAGCCCCCATGGGGCTCATAGCAAGATTGTTCTCCCCATTTTACAGATGAGGAAACTGAGGCTGGGAGGCTCATTGAGATGATCCTGTGATCCTATGACTTGCCGAAGGCCAAGTGGCTGGTAGGCACCAGTGTCCAGATTCAAGCCTAATTTGGTGATCCCCATCACACTTCTCTTCCTGGAACTCCCATGGATCGCTATCCATTTCACTGGGGGAGTATCTTAGGCAAATGTAACTTGCCCATGAGGATCTAGCCACCTAGTGGTGAGGAGGAGAGTGAGAAGGGGCATAGGAAAGAAAGAGAAGAGAAAGGGAGGAGAGGCATGGAGGGAGGACAGAAGAAGAAAGGACTTTCCTAGGGGTGATGAGTGAGGGTTGCTACAGAGAAAAGGCAGGAAGTCAAAGTCATTCTTAGGCCATGACTCAAGGCTTGGCCTTGCTTTCTAATTGGGTAGTTCTGTGCTCTCACTGCTGTTGGATTAGGTAACTTACCTTGGTGTCAGCCTCTTCTCATTCACTCTGGCAAGAGAATGGGTACCCAGGAAGCCAAGTGGACAGTGGATAGGGGTTGTAAGGCTGTGTGAATCACCCACTCTTCTGGAGGCCCTAGTGTTAGATATGGGCACCATTGGCCTCCATGGAAAAGGGAGGGGTCGAGATGCTCTTTTTCACTTGACCTTGTTCTTTCTTTTCTCCTCTCCCCCCCCCTTCTCGACTCCCACAGGACATGACACCACATCCAGTGGCCTCTCGTGGGTGTTATTTAACCTGGCCCGACACCCTGAATATCAGGAGAAATGCCGGGAGGAGATCCAGGAGATTATGAAAGGGAGGGAGGCGGAGGAGATTGAGTGGTGAGTGCTGGATGCTTCACTGGGCTTCCTCCGACACACCCATCAGGAAGAGATCACACTGGGGAGGCCCTAAGTGACTGTAGACTTCCCAGCCCCATGAGCCTTTGCAAGTGGAGTGGGAGAGTCATTCCTACTGTTGCCTTTGGCACCCCTCCTGGGCATTCCTTCCGGCACTTCTCCTGGAACTGGGTGGGGGAGGTGGAACACCGGTGGGTCAGGAAGGGAAGAGAAGTTGTCTGACAATAGTCACTGAAAGGAAGGAGCAGGTGGGCCGAGGCTGTCTAAGCTCAGAGGGTTGAGGAGGAAGAGGGATGAAACATTGTGCAAGGGTAAGGCTGGAGGAGCTTAGATTCCCTGGGAAATGAGGGCCTTGAGTGGGAAAATGTGGCACTGGGGCCCGAGTCAGCCTTCTCTTATAGCCAGTGGTGTGATGAAGGGAGGGAGGCTGAGGCTCTGTGGGATGGGGCTGAGGAGCGACAGGTGCCCATCACAGCTGTTAAAGTTGGAAAGAACCTAGAGATAGAGACACCTAGTCATACCTTGAGTCAGTGGCAGAGCTGGTCCTGGGGTCCTAATACTTGGCCAGGGGACCTGAGGCAAAAGGTCACAGGCTTGGCTTCTCCCTAGGGATGATCTGGCCCAGATGCCCTTCATCACCATGTGCATCAAGGAGAGTCTTCGCCTCTTCCCTCCTGTCACACTCATTTCACGCCGCTGCACTGAGGACATCAAGCTGCCTGATGGGCGCATCATCCCCAAAGGTACCAACCTGAGCCCTGGGAAGGAGACTCCTCAGGGACCCTGTTCAAGTCAGGGTTTTGCGAGGGCCTATTCTGTGCCTAGCTTGGGGGGCCTAGCATTATATAATCCTTATGGTACCCTATGGGGAGGTGGTGAGCCAGGCTAGATGGGATAAATGCCAAAATGAACTTTGGATAATGGGTGCCATTTGGAATTCTATTTCTACTTTGGATTACCAACAAACATTTTTTTAAAGTACTTACTGTGTGCAGAAAAAATTAGAGAGGACACTGTTCTTGTCCTGTGGGGCTTACAGTTTAGAAAGGGATAAGACCCATAAACATAAACCATAATATGTAATATTATATAAGGATACTAGAGAATTCTAAAACAAAGTGCCATGTAAAGTCTGAGGGGGAAGGTTGTTAACATTTGGGGAGAAGGGAATCAGGGAAGACTCCCTGGAGGAGATAACATTTGAGTGGGGCTTTGAAGGATTGGTAGAATGGGTTAAGAGTAAAAGAGAGGAAGGTGAGGGCCTTCTAGGATTAGGAGAATTTAAGCAAAGGCACAGAGGTAGGAGAGTACAGAAGGTGCACAGAAAAGGGCAGAGTTGTTCAGTTTGGCTCAAGAATAAGGTGTTGGAGGTGAGTAATAGGAGAAAAGGATGCAAAGGTAAGGGGGCACCAGGCTATGGAGAGCCTTGAATGGCAGACAGAAGAATCTGAACTATCACCAGGTGGTACAAGAGAGCCACTGAAGATTTGGAGCAGAGGAGAGTCATGACTATAGCTCTTTGTAAGGAAGATTATTCTGGCAGTGGCATGAAGGAGGAATTGAAGGGAGGTTGTTTAACTACTTTTATAGAAAAGCTAGTAATGGGATGAGTAGATTGACTAAGGTTATTGAAGCCTAGAGGGCTGATAAGGAACAGATGTGAAGTAGTATGTAGGTGTGAGATTGTCAAATTTAGATTCTGCTGAAGTGGGGGACATGAGTGGGATAAACATGGCAAGAGGAATAGCAGAAATGGAAAGGAGGATGGCATGGATAGGGGTCAATGAGACTAGGCTGCCTGGTGGAGAGGGTCAAGTGGTAGGCAATGTAGAACCATATCATAGAAGGTCTTGAATACAAGACTGGAGTCTGTACCTTCTGTGACAGGCAATGAGGAATCATTGAAGATTTTGGAGCGAGAGAGTAACAACGTGAGAGTTATTTCAGGAAGATGCATCAGACTGTTTGTATAGACAGATTGGAGGGGGCCAGAAGAGAGTCATGCTAGGAGGCCATTGCAGCAGTTTGGGTATGAGATGCTCAGAGCCTGGACTAGGACTAGGATGGAGAAGAAAGGATGGATACGAGGGACATTTTGAAGGGACAATCAGGAGGACCTGGCTTGGAATGTCAGCTCTATCCTTTGCTGCCAGCGTGACCTTGGGCAAGGTAATTTCTCTTTGGGTGTCAGTTTCCTCATCTGTAAGACAAGGTGTTGGATTAAATGGCCTCAAAGGTCCCTTCCAACTTTATATCCTAGGAAATGAGGAAGCTGGGACTCCAGGGGGAGGGCGTGTGTCAATTCAACAGCTGTTTGTTGCATACCTACCACATAAAAGGCCCTGCGCTTGTCCTTGGGAGATACAAAGATAAAAAACAACAAGAGAACCTGCCCTCAAGGATCTTATACTCTAATATGTGGGATATGACATCGACATGCACTCAAATAAATGTGGCTCTGTGGTCTATTCATTGTATAACCTGGGAGAAGAGTAAAATCCGCAAAATGCTGTGGCTGGAAGGGACCCCAAAATTCACCTTATTCACTGCCCTCCACTTTATAAATGAAGAAACTAAGGCACAGAAAGGGGAAGGGATTTTTTTCAAAGCCATATGTTATGTCAGAGCAAGGACTGATTGACTGAATGAATAAGCAAACATATTCCTTCTGACTTAGAATCCATGCGTTTGGAGGAACTTCATTAATTGTTGTTCAGTCATGTCTGACTCTCTGTGACCCTATTTTGGGGTTTTCTTGGTAAAGATACTGGAGTGGTTTGCTATTTCCTTCTCCATCTCATTTTACAGAGGAGGAAACTGAGGCAAACAGGGTTAGGTGACTTGCCCAGGATTACACAGCTAGTAAGTGTCTGAGACCAGATTTGAACTCAGGAAGATGGGTCCTTCTGATTCCAAGTCCAGTGCTCTGTGCACTATGATGCCACCTAGCTGCCTTTGGTCTCATTACCTGACACCTGAGCCACATTAGCCACTACAAAATCCCCTACAAGCACTGAACTCCAACCTTTGCTTAAAGAGCTTCGGTGATAGGGAATGGCTGGTATCTCATTTTCCTTTTGGACATTTACAGTTGGAATATTTTTTCTTCTGTCAAATAGAAATCAACCTCTCTGTAGCATTCAGTTTCCTTATTAAATAATAGTGCTCTTTCCATCTTTCTAAAATAAGCATGCGGGTCAGCTAGGTGGTACAGTGGATAGAGCTCCGGTCCTGGAGTCAGGAGGACCTGAGTTCAAATCCGGCCTCAGACACTTGACACTTCCTAGCTGTGTGACCCTGGGCAAATCACTTATCCCCAACTGCCTCACCAAAAGGCAAAAATAAATAAAATAAGCATGAGATATACTTTTCTCTTTACATGCTGTTTGTTCTGCCTCCCCTCCCTCACTAGAATGGAAGCTCCTTGAGGTCAGGGACTGTTTTTCATTAAAAAAAAAACACTTTTTTTTTTGTGGTGGATGATATATAGAGATGATGATAGGGGCAGAGGAGAGAAGCAGGCAAAGTGCTATGAGAAATTTGCTTTCACCTGCGGCTGAGGAGGAATCTGGGAAGGTTTCATTGAGAAGGTGGTGCCTAAGCTGTGTCTTGAAGGGAAAGAAGGATTTCAAGAGTTAGAGAGGAGGAGGTTGGCATTCTGAGCACTGGACGGTGGGGTATAGATTTAGAGCTGAAAGTGATCTTGGAATCATCTAGTTCACTTCCCCTCATCTTGCAGCTGAGGGAGAAGAGGCTTTGAGAAGTTAGGTAGCTTGCCTAAAATCGCATAGGAAATCATTGGCAGAGCTGGGATTCAAACTCAGGTCCCTGTTCTCATCTTTGTCTCCAATAAGAGATGGTCCTTCTCTCTGCCAAGGCTAATCTCTCTACTCAAGACCTTGATGGCCTTCCTTGTCCTCAGGAGGTTTGTTCCTTAAGCATCTCCCCCTGTTTCCTCTCTCTAATCTTGAACTTTCCCCTATGTAATTATTTATTCCTTAGTGCCTATACGCATGCATAGGCTTCCTCCATGCCTTCAATAAGTCTTCAAGGACCTGGTCATCCCCTCAAACTACCATCCTATATCTCTCCTCTCATTCACAACAAAGCCTCCGGAATAATTTCTACACTTCTTGGGGCCCCCCTCCCCCCTCATTTCTCATCCTCTTGTAATCTGCTTTTGGACTCCATTACTCAATGAGAACTGCTCTTCTCAAGGTTCATGGGAGCTCTTAATCACCAGATCCAATGATCTTTTTTGTCATCATCCTTCTTGACCTCTGCACATGTTGACACTGTTGACATCAAAGGTTTTTAGGTTAGGTTTTAGTGATGTTGCCTTCTTGGAGTTCTTCTCCTTGTCTTACCATCTGTTCCTTTTTTATTTATTTATTTATTTTATTTTATTTTTTTTATTAATCTCCCTTGCTGACTCTCCTAACCTTGGGAAGAAACCCAGGTTCTCTCCTAGACCCTCTTTGCCTTTCTTTCCATAACCTTTCTTGGTAATCTCTTCACCCGTCATGGGTTCAATTACTGTCTGTGTGGAGATGGCTCCCACATAGCCTAATCTCCCTCCCTCGTCACCAACTGCTTGCTTGATTTCTTAATTGTCAAATCTGATGGTCTTTCTTAGTCATCCTGCCTGCTGCATGTAACCGCAGTTGATCAGTTGTGTAGATACTGCGTCCTTTCTTTTGCGACACTGCTCTTTCCTGGTTCTCCTCCTCCTTCTCAGTCTCCTTTTCTGGTTTATCTACCTATTACACCCATGGCTTTGTCCTGGACCTGCTCCTAGAGGCAGTTAGTTAGCTCAATGGATAGAACACTGGGCCTGGAATCAGGA